ATCACTATCTGATGGATTGTTATTAGCCGCTTCATTTTCAGTGGGAGTTGCAAATTCTACATCCTCCAAATCAGGCTCTTCCGTGTTGTCTTCAGTGTTGGCAACTTCACTTTCACTCGTATGCACTACATTTTGAGCAGGACCAACTGCGCTCTTTCTTTTCTGGAAGAAAGTTCCACTTCTTCTTATTTTTCGCCACGCATTTCTATCGTCATCATCGATGAGGTTGTCGAAATTCATTATTCAGTATTTATAATTCCGATTTAACACGTTTCATTATTGTATTTTGTCTATTTCCCACTTCACCTTGAATATGCAATGAAGTCAATGAAAACAATGGTGAAACCCTCTGAAGTTTCTTGGCATGAAAATATTTTTGTTGCAATTATGTTGCACGCACGCATTTGGAATAATTTCTTTATGGAACTTAATTTTCGTCTATTTGTCACTTATTTGCTACTAGTAGAAAGCATCGACTAGAACAAGTTCCATAAAATTGCATATGTAACTTGTATGTGACTTATTTGCTACTGAATAATTTTCGGAACTATTCTGCAACATCAATGCCACTCATATGGGACTAAGCCTTTATGGAACATGAATGCCACTGAAATGTCTCACATTTCCCACTAAACTTGTTCCAGGCCACGGTTATGTCACGGCTATGGCACAAGTTTTTGTGGCAAATCGAAATTGGTGTTACTAGTGTCAGTGCCTATCAATATATCCATTCTTTTTTGTTTTTAAAACTTATTTCAATTCAATAAATTTTTTCTGATTCAATGTTGTCTATTGAATAGTCGACAAAATAAATATTTTCCATGCGACGTTTTACTTAAGAATAAGCACCAGATAATTTTTTTTGAAATTCAGTTAACAATTTTGAACGATTATTGATTTGATCTACAAAAAGTAGATATTTCAACACATGTCACAAATAAGCTCAAATCCACAAAATGGTTTTATATACGACAAATTGTACGCATTCTTCAGAATTATCGTTATAATTGTTCTAATCGTTCTTGAATATTTTAATTGATTCAAAATGTCGCGTCTCCTAGCTCATTTTTAAAAATGGTTGCTGAAGGGTTTTTCTCCCTTTGATCAATATCACGGGAATGTTAACAATTTCTATTATATTGAACGCAATTGCGTTTCCAATTTTTCGTTGCTCATACTCTGGGTAGAGTAATTTTAAATGCTTCGATTTAATTGTTTTACTCCCAAAAGTCTAGACATATTTTTTCCAAAAAAGCTTTTATGTGAAAAATCGAGCTATATAAAGCGTGAAATCTTGAAAAAGTTGCAATCATTTGATCAGTGTACGGTTTGTGTGTTGTTCTCCTAACTGAAATATTTCAATACAAGAATCAAAGATGGATGAACCAACGGGCATTTATATAAAAAAAACTACAAGTTTTTTGTGTAACATTCTGTGGTCTCTGGGTTTGTGGAAACCATACGAAAAATCAAAATTGTATATTCTCTCATATTCGACTTATTCCGTTATGTTTCTCTTCATCTTTGCCATACTCTATGCAGTTTTAATGGTTTGCAATATTTTTTTCTTAACGGATTTCTCGGATCTCACAAATCGTCTCTATATGTCGCTCACCGAAGCTGCGTTAGCCATAAAAGTGATCAATTTTTTCGTCAACAATCGCGAGTGGCAACAAATCTTGACTGAAATCAAAGAGTTTCGCATCAACTTCTTGCCGGACGAACGAATTATCCGAAAACGAGCACGCATTTTTCAGATCGTCATTTATGTGTATTTCTTTGTTCCAAATTGTTCAATAAATGGACTTGGAATAGCACCTTTATTTACAGGAAGTACCAGCTTAATTTTCAGTGGTTGGTACCCTGGCTTCGATTGGGAAAGCAACAGAAAAGATTATTGGTTGATTTATGCCTATCAATATATTGGTATTGTAATTACTTGCAATTTGAATTTGGTCATCGATTCCTACTACTGCTACGTAATGCATATGTTAAGCGCACAAATCAATATATTGGGCCGTCACTTGAGTGTGATTAGATGTCCAAGTCAAGTGAACAACAAGAAGGACACAATTGAACAAATTCGATTGGAATTGATAGAAAAAATTTATACACATCAGCGATTGAATACCACATTTGAATTGATCCAGAAGAATTTGCAGTGGGCATACTTTTGTCAGGTTCTGTTGTCTGGCATCGTCATTTGTTCAGTTGCCAAGGAGTTGGCACGGGTAAATCAAACTCAAAACTGGAGTTTTGCATCCTTTGATTTCATCAATCCATTTGATATTTGCAGACATCCACCTCAGACGAATTGCCTTTATTTGTGTCAACGTGTTTTCTAGTTACATCATTTCTGCTACAAATTTTTCTAATGTGTGTATTCGGTCAGGAAATAATGTCGGAGTACGAAACACTTTCATATCAACTGTATAGCTCTGATTGGCCTGAGATGATAGCCATTTCGAAACGAAGCGAATCGAAGAATTTTCAGTTGATTTTGACTATTCTCATGGAGACGCTGAAACGCAACAACCAAATTATGGTCGGAAAAGTATTTCCATTGAGTTTGCCAACATTTACATCGGTACATTTCATTTTAAATATCACTCGATTCGGTATAAATTTATGAAATTTAATTATTTTTCTTAGATCCTTACCATGGCATATCGTCTCTTCGCTATATTGAAGTAATGAATGAAGGTCCCATAAGAAGCACTTATTCTATTCAGTGAACCAGCAATTATTATTACAATAGGCAACAATATGGACACGAATATAATTACACATTAGCTGATTGGCTACATGAATGTATAACATATGATCAATGTCGTATAGTTGTTTTAGACCAATAGGATTTGTACGTAGCATTGTGTGTGTAGATTAAAATCAATTGATTACCAATATGTGTGTCAAGATATATAGATAACAAGTATGTCTTTTCGACCAATTTAGTTTCTAGCTTACTCTCTTAAATCTGAAAAATAAATGGTTTATTGTATAAAAGAATTGTTTCTAGCGTGTAACCCCATCTCCTTGCATCTTTTCTATAATAACTAGTTCGAAAATGCTTTTATTTCCAAACGGATTGTGACATATTTTCCGTTTGTGATTGATCTATGTTAAAGGGGAATTCACCGAAATTTAAATTGTTTTCCGCACGTTTTCTTAAGAAGTAGTAATTATAGTTTCTTCAGAAGTGAGTCGATTGGTTTTTGGGCAATCAAAGGTATTAATTTGGATGAAATAAATGATCCAATATGAAGACGACACTTGGTCAACCGATTGAGTGATTGTGTACAATAGATTTTATCAAATATAACTAAGAATATTTGAAATCTTCAATAGGTCAACGCTATATAAACCGGAACACTTTGGAATTTTCAAACTTTTTTATTAAATTGTGTGTTTAATAAGTGTCATCTTTGAGTATTATTTTTCGATTTTATCATAAAATATGGATTATCCAACGTTGACATTCATTGAAAGAATTTTATGTTTTTCGTGCAATTTGCTGCGGGTGTTTGAATTGTGGAAACCATTTGGAATATTCAAACTGCAGTTTATTTATTATTCCATCAATTCGGCGTTGGCGTTGACGTTGCCTGCGGTCATTCTTCTGATAAAATCCATTAATTTTGCTGTGCAAAATGATGAATGGAAGTATGTTCACAACGAAATCAAAGAGTGTCGTGTTAAATCCTACGATGAACAACAAACATTTAAAGATGGCGCACGTATTTTTCAAAACCTTGATTGCATTTACTTCGCATTTGAAATTAGCAATGCTCTCTTAACGGGAAAATTTTCACCAATTCAAGAAATTATAAATCTGTTTCATCGACTCGAAATTAATTGGATCATTTTTATTGGAAGCCGAAATGGTGAGAAAAATATTAAAAGTAAAAAATATAGTTTTTCTAAATTCTGAGAAGGTCTTTTGAAGAAAAAAACTCAAATTATTATTCATTGTCTTAAAATTCATTTAAGGAAGAACCATATTCATTGATGTTGATACAAATATTTCTCGCCACCTTCAAATACGCATTTCTTTCGGGCTATTCTGATTTGCCGAATATGGTTGCAAACGGAATACGACATTTGTTTCGATGATTTTGATTTTATTCATGAATTCTCTAAGAAGCAGACGAATAGTTTTGATATTCCGATTAAATTTGAACACATTTTTATCGGTAAGAGACCGAACGGTGAGTACTTATTTAAAACAGAAAATACTAATTACGATTTTCTCTTTTAGATTTCAATTCTGACCCAATGCTTCACTAAATTATCTGCAAAGTTATTACAATACATTTGATCGATTAAATAAATGAATGAATCAAATCTACGAAAACGAAAAAATGTATTTTACCTGGAAAATGGTATATATATTGACGTATGCTGAAGAAAATAAGTTTAAAAAAAATTACAAAAAAAATTATTATCATTGCAACCCTTTGTGAGTGTACGCTGTACGGCTCTTTTGAACTGTATAAATGCGTTTCAGATCGAATTTGAAATATTTCCCACGATTTGCTTCTTTTCTAATTTCCCACAGTTTTTCGAATTCAATAAAAATAATAACAAAAGATTTACTTTGAAAGGGAGCGTGGCTAAGTGAAGTAAATCAACTTGGGTCTAACTGCGATTTCTTTAATGACAGACCGCTTTTAATGTTTAATGTCACTTTTACTTTTGGTGTGATCGCACATTTAATCACAGATCGCGCTTCTGAGGTGATTTAAAAATTAGAATGAAAATTAAAGGGGTTGTCAATTGAAAATTAATAAGCACAATAATATAGTGAAATTAGGTACGGCACGATAGAATATTTAGAATTTTGGTTCAGGTTCGTGTATGTTCCTTGCATATACAGCAGCAGAAAAAAATACATTTCTGTGGTAAGACAATTTAATAATAATAATTTTCTGTGTGTGTTGTTTTTAACTTTGTATTCATTAGGCCAATAAACTGATACGGAATAAAAACGCATTCGTGTGTTAAATTACCAATATGCACTGTATTTCAAATGTGATTTTGCTACATTAGTCGATGGGTACTTCAATGATACATATCAAAACTAATTTAACATTAGATTTTAGGTACGGAAAAAATATTTAGGTACTCTAATGGGAAAAAAAGAACTTAGACGAAATTTGATATTACGAAACGACACTAATAAAAAAATTAATGTAAACGTGTTTTGTAAATAGAAGCCAATTTCGATGTCAATTAAACTAAATTTGTTTCCAAATAAAATGGCAGTTTTGAAAGAAAAGAAAAACCACAATGGAAAAAAATGGTGAAATTCATAAATAGAAAAAGAAATCTTGGCTTAATGAGCGGTTATGTTTGGTTCGAAAACCAACATCTAAACACCAGGCTTAAAAGTACCTATTGCCAATCAGTGAATAATTTGGCTTACAGTCTAATCGTCTAAAATGAAGATTATCTACACGAATTTACCGTGTATTTCAGTTGTTTAATTACATTTCTGTATATTAAATTAATATTTGTGTTTATAAAACCATGTAGTTTTTAGGGAAAATGCGCACGAGCACACATTCTTTATGCTGCCTTACTATTCATTTCTCTCTATTTTTTTCATATTTTTCTCTCACTCACACTATATTATTTCCATTTTCAAATGGGAAAAAGTCTACGTATTTTTATTTTTTGTTCAAACTTCAATTGTTTTTTGTTTTGCACGCGAAAAAGAAAACAGCTTAACAAATATGCTCGTCGTTTGATTTCAGAATGATGATGAAACCATTGTGGCTTAGAATTCGGTGTCGGATGCTTAGGTTCGCTTCGATGCGCTGCTCGTGCTGACATTCAAACTGTCGCACAAGAAACGCTGTAGCTATTTCAGGTGCTGCGATCGAGAACGTGAATTCGGCTCAGTTGTTCCATTCAAATGCAAATTGTTGAATGTTCCTAAGAAAACATTGGAAAAAATGTGCTTGAGTTGGAATTTGATTCAGAAAAGTAGCAAAATTTCGTAGATAATAGACGATATTTACCGGAATTTTGATTCTGAACTTGCGGTACTTGATTCAGCGGTATCGCCAATCTGGCATTCACAGCAAGCAAATGATCACGTCTCGCAATCAAATTGTTGACGTGCTCCTCCAAACGGATGTTTTCAGAACGCAATTGATGCAAACAGGATAAAAGTGAAGCAACTGAAATGGAATGCAGTTTCGAGTTAGTGAGCGAGTTCAAGAGAAATTCAGTTTGTTTTTGAATGAAGAAAATCGAATAAAAGTTTGTAAGAGCCAAAAAATGCGATAGAAAAATACTTACTGTCAAAATGTTGTGCCTGTTCCATTAAAAACTGTGAACCTTGCTCCCATTGACGTTCGAGCAGTTGTTCGAGACTTTGTGGTGTGTTTCCATGTGCAGTCGGCTGGCCGGTTCCACCAAGCATTGAGCTCAACGACGGCCCTTGCGGTTGACTCTGTGCACTATTACGTGCCTGAAATGAAATAATTCGGTAATAAATGAAATAAACGACAGTTGTTCGTTTCAAATGCTGGAGCAAAAACTCCGATTTGCCACTTACATTGTTCAACTGTTTTCCAGGGAACATCGGTCCCATCAGTTGGGTATTTGAGTCCATACTCGATGACGTATAGACACTGTGCGCTTCCATTTCCATAAACAATTGATCGGACATTTTTTGAGCGACGCTGCTTGAGGGATTCAGTTGATTTCCCAACATATGCGTGACATGCATATCTTTCGACGGAAACACTTTAACATCTTTCGTTCCGTCGTTCGACGCCGAATGATTTCGTTTGTGTGGTTCGGCAATCTCAGAGCTCGGTGAGCTTGGCGGCGAATTTTTTATGTCGGTACGTGGTGTTATCGATGCAACATCATAAATGTTCGACTGTGCCTCATAGCTAATCTTCAAGTCCGAAAATGAACTTGAATTGTCATCCGGGGTACTAAAATAGAAATAAGGAAATATATTTCAACGTCGTTCAAAATGAATGCTAAATACAATGTGCAAAAAGCAATAAAACCCAGTATGTATTTTACCTTGTAATTCGGCTCAAGCTAACGTCATCTGCGAGATGTGCAGTTTTTGCACTGAGTCTAACACCCAACGTTTCCATATTTGACGGAGTATTGGCAGTGCTCAATTCGGAAAAGAGCGACGAATTACCGGTGTTGCCTTTTCCTTTGGATGACAATTTTATGCCACTTTGTGACGGCGATGGATTTCGAACGATTGCACCGACAGGTACAAGCGTTTGCTTGTCACTTAGCAACAATGGGTCCCTCACTTGCAATTCGGCCGGCTGCTGTACGATAACATTCGGTAGGTTGTGAGATCGATTTAAATGCTGATTCTGCGTTCATTTGCACACACATTGTCACGCGTACACACAAAAAGAAACATTTCGAATAAACGATATCACACAATTAGTCACAAATTATAAACTTCAACATTTAAAATCACAGCAATCATGTGACAATATTTACCGGCGGAAGATCCGAATTAGCGAACGATTTAATGTTTGAAATTTGATGATGCGATGGAATTGATGGGGCGCTTGTATTTGATGACGGTAAATTCACACCGGTTGGCAATGGCACCGAAACCACTAAACTAACCGACGTGGCTGGATGATGTGGCTTATCTGAAATGTTTCAGAGTTATTTTGTGAATATGTTATTCTAAAACCATTTTCTCTCGCTGAAATGCTGTTTAATCGGCTCCATATTGACTTACCTTCGGTTTGTTTGACAATATTTTGCTGCGTATTACCACCAGCTACGTGTTGATTTTGTACAGACTCTGGCTCAGCACATTTTTGCTGTAAAATTTAAAACAAATATTCACCACATTATAAACACTTCGGTATTTGGTGTGTGTTTAGCGTGAACTGACTTTAGTTATTGTGTTGTTGCTTACTTTTTTCGTGTCGTTGATGTTGATGTTGATTTCGCCTTTTTCATATGCTAATGGCACTAAAGTCACTGAGACATCTTTTATACCCTCTCTACAGGCGTTGCACGTGTGTTTTGGAAATCAAAGCCAAATGACACACGTAGCATGTGTTGTTGTGACGATGCGATGCGATGCGATTCGAAAGAAAGAAACAAGAAAAAGAAAGAAAGAAACGAAACACACAAGGGATCGTATTTACAATGAGTTCAAAGTACACCACACACACATACACACATACGCATTGAGTATGTGTCAACAATGACATTTTGAGTGTAAGCCATATGCGCTTTTTTGTACGGCTAATGTCAAAAAATGAAATTTGTGACAGCTGTGCGATTTTTCTTTTGCTATACCTGATCATATCGTCCGTGGTGTTAGATTTGATTGATTCCAGCTTTCGTTTCTTCACAACGGGTACATTTGAGCCTGGTTTTGAGCTGCCATTACTTCCAAACACCGAGTCTGAGGATACAACAATCGATTCGGTGAAATTTGATGTCGTGAATTTCTGTCCGAGTACAACGTCTTTGTTCGATGCAGTTGAAACTGGTGTGACGTTGGCATCTGTGTGGGAAAAGTCAAACCACAAAATATTAGTACGATTTTTTACGGAAACAAGCTATACTCTTGATTAAGTTCCATCGAAATTAAATCATATTTTTTTCGAAGAATAATTAAAAGGGGAAGAAAAATGCGTTTGAAATACCACTTGTTGTTGATGCATTCGGCAGATCATATTCACTGGGTGTCGAGTCTTTGCTGTGATTTCGTGATGGTTTCGAATGTTTTTGCTCGCGTTGCTCTTTCGATGAGCTCTTTGTTGACAACGAATTGCCTTTATTGTTCGATTTGCTGCTACTTTTACTACTTGAGCTTTCTTTTGTACTGTTACTGCTATTGCTGTTGCCTCCGTCGCCGCCCGATACATTCAGCAGATCGGTGCTTAGATTGCTCGATGAACTGCTCGTATTTATTTGGCTGGTATTTTGATTTCCCGGCTGCGATTGAGCGCCCGTTGGTTTTGCGGCAAACGGTGACGGCTGTTGTGTCGTCGACGACGATGACGACGACGACGCTGACGACGATATTGATGAACTGCTGGCCACACCGCTTACATTTGTCTTTCTCTGCACCGATTTGTGCGAACCATTTTGTGATGACGGCTTTTGATCCAAATTCGTTGCGGTCAAACTCATCGCGGGCTGAAAGAGGGAATCAAAATTAAAATGGGAAAAATTGAAGAAACATTTTGAATTAAAAAAAAAGGTCAATCAAACGACATTTCTATTGAATCCATTGAGGTGGTTCACAATCACTTACCAACGGTATCAGTGCTACCGGAACCGCGTCGGTCTCCTTTTCAGGCGACGAAGATGGATCGCTCGATTCAATGCCATGGTTTACTGGTTTGTATGGAGGAATTGTTTTGACGTTGCCACCCTTTTTCTGTAGAAAAACCAACCCAATGAGCGAATGACCATTTGAAAGACCAAAATCAATCTTACCAATTTACTGTAATGATGTTGACAGTAGCCACAGTATTTGACATTGTCCAAGTAGTTCCCTGCTTCTTCACAAAGTAAACCGCGAGCTTGAGCGCATGTTACATGAAATTGTTGCTTACATCCAGATTTATTGCACTGCATGCATGCGCCAGCCGCAGCCTTTGAGCCTTTGTTATTCTCCTGACAAATGTAACACACTACACAGAACGAACATAAATTGCAAGTTATTCTCAACATTGGCAATTTGCAAACAATTCAAATGTTTCGATTCCATACCTTTATTGAACCGTTCCGGCGGTATCAACTGCAGTAGAATAGGCTCCATGGTTGTGACATTTCCGAAGCGCACCTCGGGTATATACAAAGCACAAACGACGTGCGCCCAACCTTGATTATCGGTTCGTTTCAATGCACCATCTTTCGAGGGGCAGAGTTCGCAACGAACACGCGTTGGACGCTCCTGGCTTTCACATTTTCGGCAATACCAATTGCCCGTCGGCACGGTGACAATCCCATAGCAGGCTTGGTGCACGGCTACTGTACAATGTTGACCATCACAGTAGACGAGTGGATTTTCCGACCAACCTCTTTCATCAGAACAAACACAACAACCACCGACCATTTCCTTCATTTTAATTAACAGCCAACATCAGATACATTCTATAATCGACTAGCTGACGAAATAAGAACGAAACAATAAACAAATGTGAGAAATAACAACAACAATACCGAAAATGAAACAAGTGCAAAACAGAACGCTGATTAGTTTTGACACCTAGCCATTATACGTATACAAGTGTTATGTTGTGTGGACACATAAAATGCGGCCGCTAACTTACATATAGCGAGAAAAACTGAAAATGAAATGAATGGATCCGTCTGCTCTTATTCTGGTCAGTCCAATTTGATTTATTCACGGAAAACACAATCGGGCACTTTTTTCTTCTGGCTGTTGTAACACACGCGACGAATGTAAATTTATAGTGTGTGTCTTGGGCGGTTTTTTTACTTTGTATTTTCACGTTGTTTACGTTGAATTTCGGCGTTTTGCAAGCAATTTCTCAATGCAATACACTTCATCGGCTAGTTTCGTTCACAATATCGCATTCAATGCCAGTCTAATTTACGAATTCAATCACAATTTGAACAAATGAAAAAACTCATACGTTCGGTGCTACTAAACAATGAACTGTCTACTATGGTTCTGATACGAAAATACAAATGTCGGCCATTTTGTATTTTTTTTTCTTCTCTCCTCTTGTCTAGTCGTCGCTTGTATACTTTGGCCCCGTGCGTATGTGTGTGTGTGTGTTGCATCAAATAAATCTGAGCACGGATGAACAGTATATATATGCACACAGCATTTGCCGCTTCGAATTGTGTTTGTGTGTACGCCACGCATGAGACCAACATCGATTTGGATATATACACCGCGTGAACTGCTCGTTCCACATTACATAAATGTAAACAACAGTCCTCTAATACAAATGTGCTGCAAGAATTCAAAAGCATGTTCATGAAATAACAATGAAACGACTGCATACATAGCTCATTTTTTTACATACCCATTTAGTTCTGTCAGTGTATTGGTCTAATATATATATATAGTGTCAAAGGCCGACCGATTCCAATTTGACAATGCATCGATTTCTTTTTTCCATTGGATTCTTGTATGCACTTTTCATTTGACAAAATCAAAATAATGTGTCAGGAAATTTATGTGAAATCAGTTTCTTTTTATTTCGATTAAATTATTTTTCATTCATTTGATTTATTTCTATAAATTACATTCAGTTGAAGTTTCGAAGTACACATCATTGAGGTTTCTATCATTACAAAATGATTTTGAATCCATGGTGTATTCCCTTTTTTTCTCTTTTTCTTCCCTTTTCTTTCTATTTTGTTGTAGCAAAAAAGTGGTTGAATTTAATTTACGACAGACGCTGATGAAATTGGTTGTTTTTTTTTGTTGGTATGGAATGCGGCAGAATGTGTATGATTGTTGAGATCTGCCACGCAATCTTCAAGTCTATGAGTTTTCTTTTCGGCAAAACAAACAACAATTTAAACTACACGACGCACTTCGAAGAATCGCTTCAAATAGTACACTTGGCCCACAGTCATGATTACTAAAACTAATGCTTCGAATGTTGACCACAGAACAACACGAGAGTTTGTGCTTTCGTTGATTTCACGATGGAATTTATCTCTGACATGCATGTATTCTTGTTCGTGTTTCACAGACGTCAAACCAGCGCTCAATTCACGAATCTAAAAAAAATGGTAACGGCTGAGTCATCTGTTGAAAACAGTGTATGTGGCGGTGACGATTTACCATATCTTCGAGTTTGTTGTGTCCAATTTCGCTTTCATTTGGAGCGCCTGGTGCACGACCACCGTCCAACACATCCATATTGAACATAATTGTCTTTGGTGCCATACTACCCTTTTCGTTTATGAAGCAATACGTATATTTGGCGTCTGGAATACCCGAGCCGAATGTGTATTTACCGGATTTTTCTTCGCCTTCATGGATCACCTTACCCTCTGGATCAGTTATCCGAAGCTCAATATCATTAAAACCACCATCAATCACCTCGAACATTAAACCTAATTTCGAATGAAACAGACAGCGATTAGTAATGAACAAGCCACCGAATCATTGTTAATCGAAAAAATTCTTACTCAATTTTGGACCCTGTTCATAAAAACAATCTTGTGCTCGTGCATCTATCGTTATTATATACGATTCACTTAAATGCAACAATTTCAACAGAATTGTCGTTAAAAATACCGATTTAAGCGTTAGCATTTTTGTTGGCAAAAATTTTCTGCTACTTCGTAATTAGTTTGGTATGAAAGCGAATGTTGAAATGAAATTGACGTGTGACATTCGGCTGATATTTTAACTAGCCACGTCTGCCCATCGACTCCAAACAAATCGACGTTGACATTTCACTCGAATTGTTTTGTTGCCGAATCCCTATTGGAAAAAATTCGACTGTCTTCGATTTTTTGCATTTGGGCGTGAATTGGATTAATTTCAAGTTTTAGATGAAGCCAACAACGATTTTATGAGCTCAAAATGGATTCGAAAGTTTAATTTTTGAATTTTTTCGGGAAAATATTTGAGAAGAAGAAAAAAGATGTTAATTTGAAATAAAACCGTTGTCAGATGTTTGTCAAATGCTAATTTCCATGGAATCAACACTCTGAAGGCAACTTCACGCTATTCGAGAATGTCAGCATTGACATTTCTCAAACAAAACGTGCGATCGAAATTCAATTCCATTGAATCAAAACAAACTAAATTCTAGCATACAAAAAATGTCTCGGCCGAATAGTGAAAAATTGGAGTCAGGTGAGTCCATCTTGAGATAAATTCTTCAATAAAATCCCATTAAATGAGTCTCTTTCATAACATCAGCAAATCAAATGACGGAAAATTTGGATGAGTTCGTTGACTTCGTTACTGGTTTGGTGGAACCAAAGAAGCGCCCAGATGTTTCCATAAAAAGATGGCATAAAACGATGCTGACTGGTTCCAAAATTAAACCACAAAACCAAAAGGTTAAACAGAAAACGAAAAAGAAGCCGAAGCGTTTGACACGAAAGGAATTTGCTGATTTAGGGCTGTACAATTTACCGACCAAATCAATGAAATATGCTGATCTACTACCGTTGCATAAACTCTGGACACAGTATATCGAGAAACAGCTGCAGCCGCATATTAAAAGACGTGAAGATGGCAAATTAAGCGTTCCAGAAGTACATGAAAATTCGTATGATGCCTTCAGTAAAACACTCATCAAATCCGATTTAAATGGAGCTAAAGTAACAGTGATCGCCTCGTGTAACCCATCATTAGTGGGCCAAACCGGTATTGTTGCAATGGAAACGAGGAACACATTCAAAATCATCAGCGAAGATAATCGAATACGAAGTACGTTTTGTTTAGAATTTTCGACATTTTTGCTCGCATTTTGACAATACATCGATTAAAAACAATTAATCAACTGAATTGTTTTTTTCTATTTCGCAGCAATTCCAAAGCCGGAATCGGTGTTCAAAATCGTTGTGAATGGAATCGAGTTTAAAATATTCGGCAAATACCTCAATATTCGACCAGCAGAAAGAGCTGTCAAGAAAATCAAAACGCTCATGCATCCAGATCTCTAATGTTTAGCTGTTAATACTTAAAAAAATAAATGATAAATATTTTAAACGTTCAATAAAAACTCAATTTTCTGTGTTTATATGTTTTTTTTTTTTATTATTTTGAGGTTTAAATAATATTTGTCTAATTAACTTATCATTCAGCTGATGAATTCATTAAAATCATATAATTCATTTTGTTTAACATAATTTACATAAATCGTCATTTTCCTATGCATTCACCTTGTTTTCGATATTCAAAACCATTTTAAAGACAAAAATAGTTTTATTGTTTTCTTTTAAATTTACATACATTTCCAATGATTCTTTTTTTTCTTATTTTCCACAGGAATTTGTTTTTCCAACTTTTCATTCAATTTCGAAACAAAAATTTAACCAATTCTGTCATAGCCGGAAATTTAATTTAAAATTTTCCATTTTTGCGTCGAGTAAGTTTTTTTTCTTCTTTGCATTTTAACAAAATATACCCATTTTTCTTCCAATTGCAACACAAATAAAACATTCAATTGATTTTATAGTCTATGCAAGGAATTTATATCCATTTGTCAATAGTATTTGTATAATTTTTTTTTATTTGTTAAACTTTTTAATGGTTTTTATTTTCTCTTCATTTTAGATTTAATAAAATAGTTGATTCTCCACAAGGATGTACAAGTAAATTTTCCTTGCGGTTTTTAGTACGAATTAAATGTAGTTTGCTTGTCACAATCTCGAATATCAATATCCATTATCTCTTTGTGTGTGTTTTTAGTTTCATTAATTAAATTAATGAAGGCAATTCTTGTTTATTCATCGGTCTCTTTTGTTGCAAAGTGATTTTTAGCGTATATATGTTACAAGTTGAAATTTTTAGTTAATTTACTTTTAAATAATTACGACATTTCTATCTAACGATTGAAAATTCAAGCGAAATTTTTAATTTCATTTTCAGTGTTTTTTCTTGTTTTTTTTTGATTTGCGGTAGTAAATGTTTTCTTAATTTGATATATAGTTTTTTTTACACAATCATATGTATTGGTTTAGCTCGTTTCTCTTCTGCGGGGCGATGGCGAGGGCGAGAGCAGCGTTCGAGTTCAAATAACGTCAACAAGTAAAGCATTTGTTCATATTGCCATGAACTTTGAATAAAACAAACAGAACATCTAAGCTCGTTGGCATAGTAGTATATGTGCCACTAAATCACTAGAAAGATCGTTTTCACTTAAATCAGAAGGGATAAAATGTGGATTTTTTTTTGTTGTCATCAAAAATGTTTCTTTTTTTTCCTGCAGACGCTTCGCGAAAATCTTAATAAATTCTGACTTCTTGGACAACAAGTCAAATCGCGCGTAGATTTTAAATTCAATTCTTGAACATTTCACGCGGTATCAATATCATCACGAATTTCAGTTTAGCAGCGAGCACCTTGAATATGTCATACAAAACTCAATAAAAAGCATCAGATGAGCTTGATATATGCATGCACTATTACAACCTCGAAGTGATTGCTTCCATTCTTTCTACTTCTTTAAATTGGAGAATCAAACAAAAAAAAACATTCGTTATACATGTATTTCTATTTGGGCTATTTTGCTTTTAACTGGGGGATTTCACTCTTCAAATAAACCTATTCGTAGGAACAATTGTTTGAAACTTCAGATTTTATTACATTTATGATGAATTTACTGGTTTTGTTTCGATTTATTCTCGTTCGCTGGGTTTTTTTTTTTCAACACAAACACATTTAAAACAATAAACTTCCTTGCATTCATCGGATAAAAAAAAATATAGTGAGCTTTATACATAGAAATGAGAATAAAAATCAACCATTTGAAGCACCAGATGATTTCAACATTAGTTTTAGCTGCTCATTAGACACTTTCGGTTTTCTGTATCGAGGGAATATCGTGTGAGAATATATATCGAAGGAGAGATGAGTGTTGAATAAAACGAAATGATTATCTAATCTATTGTAGGCTTTACCTTCATACAAAAAATAAACATGAACTATTCTGTGGTAGCTAATCATTTACACTTAACATGATTGATCCATTCGCTTGGATTGCATAGAACCATATCATTGTGAACTTTGAAAAAAAAAAATTAACTAAACGCAAGACGAATATTCCAAAATTAAAAAAAAAATTCTTTCGTGTAAAAAAAAAATTCCTCCTTTACGAATTTTTAAAATAATGCCAATGTGAATGTATTCCTTTTGTTCTTTCCATCTTTAAAAACGGTCGATTTTTGTAGACTATTCTCCCATCATCTGTTGCAGAAAACGTTTTATATGCATTCGGAATCTGTTGATGCGAACGATCATTAAAGTCTCAACTCCATGCCGCAGATACACATTCATTTATCAGAAGAATCGAAGAAAAAAAAACATTAAACAACTAATTCAATATTCTAGACGTCACTTAATCCAATAATTTCACAACAATGAAATTTCTGAAATGAAAACAACGCATGATTCGATTAGATCAAAAGTCGTTAAAATTAGCAGTAAAGTCACTGCGATATTTACCTTTGGCTTCATGACTATCGGATGTGACTAGTGGTGCTGATGTGATTAAGCTGTTGTTATTGAAGTTGACTGTATGTTCGGCTGTTTGATTCGTATCGAGTGATAGATCTAGCAGTTGATTTGTAATTGAATCATTGTAGTTATTTCCTATGCCTATGCCAGATTCACTGCAGAAAAAACCAAAAGAGATTCAACGGATTAATTCAATTTTGTTATTTCAATCAATCAAATTTTTGGTCATTTTTTATTGGCGTACTTACATTTTATTATCTAAACTAAAACCATTACCATTTGAAATGGGCGGCTGATGTTCATCGTTCAGTGTGAAATCTATCAATTTGCCATTGGTTTTGTGCACACCATTGTTATCTGCATGATGTTGAGGAGACTGTTGTGTGGGTGTTGATATCAAATTGTTTTCTATCAAATTGCTAAACGTGTGGATGAGGGCGTTCTCTTTGTCAGTCACACTCTTCTCATAATCGCCCAGCGCATTTTTCGTATTATTGGCAGATGTTTCATCGTCTTGGGCTGGCTCAGTCGATGGCTGTGTAGACTCGGTACTATTCACACCATTGTTTCCAGCTTCATTTTCCGCCTGCATGAAATAAGGAATCCAAATTTATTGACAAATCCATTTTTCATTTTTAAAATCATCGATTCAACAGGTGATAGTAGTATATTAACCTTGTTTGGAGTATTTGATGCGAAATTATTGGCTGCGGCCGTTTTGGCTCGTGTACGTGACATGATCGCTTCAACACGTTTACGGCGTTCCTCTCGTTCTTTTTCTTCTTTCTTTAGTCGTTCGGCAACTTCAATTTTCTGTCTCTCGGCCTCTTCACGTGCCTTCTTCTCTTGTTCTTCTCTTTCTAAACGTTGTTTTTCCTCATCGGCTGTGAAAAACAAAGAAAAATCGATGTCATCAATACAAAATGTACACATTAACGGAATTTTTTTTTCTCACATTTTCTACTGGGAAATTTCAATCACAAATGAAATCATACCTTTGCGCAAACGTTCAGCTTCCTCACGTTGGCGAGCCTCTTCGATGGCTTGTTGCAAGCGTTTCTCTTCTGCCTGACGTTGCTCTTCAACCAATCGTTGGGCTTCCAATTCGAATTGTCTTTGTTTCTCTTCTTCTTCGGCCTGCAATTGCAATTCGCGTTGTCGTTCTTCTTCTTGTTTCTGACGCTCCAATTCTGCCTGTCTTTCAGCTTCCTCGCGAGCCAATCGGCGACGTTCAGCAAGAGCTGCTTTAGCCTCATGCTCGGAAAGCACACGACGTTGAATCATTGATGCTAAAAAGAGGACAGTTAGTATTTTGCTTTGATTTATGGCATTTGATTTGTGTGGTGCAAAGAATCCAATTCTTACCTGTCATCTCATTGTTCTCTGGTTCGGTCAATTTATTATTGTCGATGTTATCGACATTTGAAACCGGTTCTGACTCGGAAGTAATCTCGGTCTTAATCTCATGTGTTTCAGTAGATTGAACGGATTCACCGTCGCCGGAAACAACTTCAGTGGTCGTTACTGTTTCGACTGTCTTCGTTTCAACGATTTTTACCTCTTCGACGGCAATTGGTTCGTTCACTTGTTCTACTGTTTGAACAATTTCTACGGAATTCTCTGGTGTTTCATTAGGAACTGTTTTTGGAGTCGCGCTTTCAGTTTGTGGTGATGGTAGCTTTGGTGTTGATGCTCCACGCGGCGTTGCGGTCTATTTGAAATATTTTTCGATCAATTTGTGATTAAAACACAAACTCGTTGAAAATTTGCGTTCATAGATGCTTACCTTCTTCGGTGGTGCCGATTTTACACTACGTTTTGGAGTTTCATGTAGAGATGTTGACATTTTGGGTGAAGCTGCCGCTTGTGCTTCCTTTGTCGCATTTGCTGTGGTTGTTGACGATGATCTTCGTACAGCCGACGAAGGTCTCGATGGTGGTCTGTCTTTTTTCTGTGGTTTGGATGACTCATTGCCTAATGGAAAAACAATCACATGTTATTGCATCTCTTTATGGAGAACTCGCAATTTTATTTGAAAATGAAACTTACAGTCTGGCGTCATGCCAGTTCCAGCAATGCTGGATGGTCGTGGTTTTCTAGTGCCTCCAGAGCGTCGAACAACGCCGGATGTTGACATGGTTGATGTCGACATTGCGCTTCCGGGTCGTGATGAGCCGCCAGGTGTCACATCACCAGATCGTGAACCTATTTTTTTTTCGATTCATCAAATAAATATTTACAATCAAATAATGGAAAACAAATTACACCGTGCAACACATGTTTCTGCACATGAGAAATTCCGATTGCTTGTTTTAGAGGACCAAAAACCAAGCACCTTTGCATCATTAGTTTGTTCGAAACCACGTCTAGATTTTTTTTTATCGACAATATAAGACAAATTTCAGGTCAAAATGAGCAAATCACAAACATAAGCATCGATTTGACAGGTAAAGGCAAATGATTTCTACCTTTTCTGCCTTTGAACAACTAGTATGATCCTTTACAAACATTTTGGGTACTTACATGACCAAATCGAGTGATGTTTTCACATATTTCTGGCCGCATATTTGGTTGGTTCGAATTCAACTCTGAAAGAATCGACTTTTGGCCAAAAATCCTTAAATATAGGCTTTTTAGGGATAGTATCTTAGCGCAAAGCTATTTTTTCTCGAAAATATGGGGAGTCTACCCAGACCAAATCTCTCAAAATTGACTTTTCGAGGTACCTTCTGAACAAAAGTTACGTTTTTAATGCATTTTGCTATGAAAATATCATTTTTTGTTCGGGAGGTACCCCAAAAATCATTTATAAGAGATTCTGTGTGGGAAGATTCCCAATATTTCTCGAAAAAATTAATTTTTTACTAAGAAACTCATCCAAATAGTGTATTTTTGGGGTACCTCCCGAACAAAAAATGTTATTTTCATAGCAAAATGCATGAAAAACGTAACTTTTGTTCGGGAGGTACCTCGAAAAGTCAATTTTGAGAGTTTTTGTCTGGGTAGACTTCCCATATTTTCGAGAAAAAATAACTTTGCGCCAAGAGACCATCCCTGAAAAGCCTATACTTAAGGATTTTTGGCCAAAAGTCGATTCTTTCAGAGTCGAATTCGAACCAACCAAATATGCGGCCAGAAATATGTGAAAACATCACTCGATTTGGTCATGTAAGTATCCAAAATGTTTGTAAAGGATCATACTAGATGTTGAAAGGCAGAAAATTTAGAAATTATTTGCTTTTACCTGTCAAACCGAAGCTCATGTTTGTGATTTGCTCATTTTGGCCTGAAATTTGTCTTATATGTGTCGATAAAAAAAAGTCTAGACGTGGTTTCGAACAAACTAATGATGCAAAAGTGCTTGGTTTTTGGTCCTCTAAAACAAGCAATCGGAATTTCTCATGTGCAGAAGAAAAAGTTGAAATTTGTTACACGGTGTTATTAGTGTCAGCACAGCCACCAATAGCCAATTAGCAACGAATTACGGTTTCAACATATAAAAAATTAAACGCCACCAGCAAAAAATTAACTACTTAAACTAAAACGGCATAAATAAAGTGGAGAACAACAAAATAAGTACCAGGTTCTATTTCTACGTAATGGAATGAAATTAATTACTTGAAACCTTTTCCCACTGTGTATCAATAAGGATCTAAATGACATGTAAAGAAACCATATTCTTATAAAACTAAGTAAATCTACCGGAGAGTCATTAACGATTAGTTTATGAGTTGTTTGTAGTTGGCTGAACATTAAAACTGTTTACTACGTTTATGAGCCATAACCTATGGGTAGGTCACACAATGCTTATGCTTAGGGACGAAAATAAAAATTCAATTGATTAACCAATAAATTTAAGTATAGAATTAATTATACCACCAAAAAGTAGACATTGATTTGAGGAAAGGGATGAGGAGGAGGGTGAAGAAGTGATTTTCTTCGGATGAATTTATTTGAGAAATGTTTTCAAAGTTAATGGTCTTTTAAGGAAATGTGAAGAGCATCGAAATGAAGACAGAGATAGAGAGAAGATAGTTGATATCAAGTGATGGGGCTAGTATTGAACAATTCAGAATTGTTCGAGGGTAGTGTGTATCATTTAGATGTGCAATGTGATCGTTGGTATGATGCAATTTGGTAAATCGTAAGGAGATACGATTTCGAAGCCGATCACCGAATAATGTGTTATGGTTTATTTGTTATTGATCGTAGGCGAAATTACGCAATAAAAAAGAAGATTCTGTACAAGTAGCCATGTTGGTGTCTTTTTATTTGTTTTGTGTGGACACTAAAGTGAGAAACGGAAATGGTGAACACACACCTGCAGAAACATTAGTTGTTCGCGAATCGATTTCAGTATCGTTTGCATGCTTTTGTGCAATACGTGCTTGAACCACAGTCGGCGTAGTTTTTGGTGTGCTTAGCAATTTGGCTGTAACCAATTGTGTCATACTTTTCGTTGCGTTTGACTTACGTAACGGTCGCACATGGTTGTTGTTGTTGTTGTTGTTGTTACTCATATTTTTCGATGCGCTGCTCGGTTGATATAAACGAAGCTGAGCTGGACTTCGTGTCGATGAACTCGACGATAAATGCGTTAAACTGCGTGACATTTTTCGGGCTGTGGCCACCCGTTCAGCTTCTAAATTCGTTTCAATTTGCTGTTGACGCTCACGTTCAATTACCGCCCGAACATGTTCTCCCTTGCGTCTGGTCGGCTGTGCCAATTGATCTAAGCGAGTCATTGATACGGCACGTCCTTTAATCTTGAAATCTACTTTTATTTTTGCGTTTGCGAAACGAGTGTTTGTGATTTGTGATTTACACACAGAAATTCCACGATTCGGATGGAACATTTCATGAATTGTATTGCCGTTGATTGACGAATGAGTACGTGCACAATTGTGATACATCGGTTAGGTAATTGGTTATTGGAATTTGTTTAGAATTCACAAGTGCATTCGATCACCGGACAAAAGATCGTCGATTTTTGGTGGCAGCAAAAAAAAAGAGCAAGTCAAAATCAAATCATAGAAATTAATGTCAATTGCATTCAAAATAATAATGAAAGAAATGTATGGAACAAAAACTTATACATAAATCATGAATGTGTCATTGTTCGTTTCGATAAAAACTAGAAGTATTTCAATGAAAACTGGTTATGTCTAATTATAAACTAAATGTGCTGATTGGTGTATATGTGTGTGAATTTTTGTACTGATGGACAGTGATTCAATTTTTTTTAGCAATTGGTCTAAACGTAATGAGATGATGTTTCAAATAAAAACAAAACTTCAACTAGAGAAACAAAAATAATTATCTATTTAAACAAAAAAAAAACAATAATATAGGTAAATAGTCAATTTCATACATTCGCTGCTTGCAACTAGCATTTTACAATCTTGACTTTGATAAAGTTCTTTTTTCGAAAATTTCTTCTTCTGCTGTACAGATAAATTTTGTTTGAGAGAGAGAGAGAGAGAGAGAGTGAGTGAGTATGTTTTTTACCTTGTGTACGCGGTGTGGAACAATACAAAGACGTTCGAGAGCCGAAACTTGAATCACGGATCGGTATGGTTGGTATTAAATCGGTTTTTCGTCGGGCGACACTTCGAATAACGAACGGTGATGTATCATTGGAATCATCTACAAAACATCATATTTATTGCCAATTGTGTGTGAATGTGTGTGTTTCACAGAGAAATGTAAATTTCCAGGATTTCATAGGAAAATTGGGATTGACAACAAAAAAAAGCAACGAATGAAAAGAAAAGAATAAAACAAACGGTATGCGGATATGCACATCAAGCAAATGAATATGGAAAGCAACATATGGTTATGGAGTGAAGCGGAGAAAATGTCCCGAAAGCACTATGATCTAAAAATACAGTTCAGACACACAGCATCTCATGGGATCAGTTTCTCAATTCATCATATCGATAAGAGTTGCTAGTTGAGAGAAAATCACATTCAAAATGGAAACAAAAAAAACGAATGAATAGATAACAACAAAAACGATTTGGACTTTGTACTCAATAGAATAAGCCCTTAGATTATTCATTCCAGGAAACATACGATTGATTAGGACAACAAAACAAACTTCAATTATTATGATATTTTTTTTCCATTACACACAACAAATGCGAAAATCTTAGAATAGAAGCTGAAAAACAAGCGAAACTCAAGACGGCATAACGTTCAAATTTCATCCAAGGCGAAACGACAACCAAGCGCAACATGCAATGAAGCTTAGCCATCGAACAGAAAATAATCGAAGCGAAATATGATTTTTAAAAATAATAAAATAGTTAGAATACGTAAAACACTCATGCAACATCAACAATAACAATAACAAGATATTTAAATCAGATTGTTCAAAGTCACACTCTCTACGGTTCGTCATTTTTTTTTTTGTTCTATTCAAAGTTGAGATTGCATTCATTTTCAGAAGCATCCAAAAAAATATAGGAAAAAAAAGAACGCGGCATTCATCAAAGAAATGTCTAAGGTCACATCGGGCGGGAGTAAAAATAATAATCCATCGAAAAATGAGGCTGAGGAGATAGAATGAGAGAGAGAGAGAGATCATATCAAAGCAATAAAAAAAAACATGCACTAGAATTGAGAGCAAATCCGGAAATAGTGTTTTGGGCGCGCAGCAAAAAGTAGATGGTCCGCATCAAAATGGAAATTCGTGTGAATTGTTACAAAAGCAAATGTCTCACCGTATCTCGTGTTAGCAGTATTTCGTGTTGGTTTTGTCGCTGGCGGTGGATCATCAATGTTAATTTCTGAAGCGCCAGCGAATAATGACAGTCTCTTCGGTCGAGACTCATTCACATGGCCCCAGTTGAATACTTCGTACATTGATGTGGACATTTTGTGTAAATCTAAACATTGAACAGATGTGATGTTTTGGTTTTTTTTTTCGAAATTGTTAAAAGGGCGAACACAATCACAAAAAAAAATGTTGATGGTTTCGATTACACGACGATTTTATAAATATTATTTCAATTTTTTTTTCCGTTCAAATCATAAAAAAATGAAACCAAAACGAATATTGACAAAAATAAAAACAAAGAAAAAACGTTTAAAATTACAAACAGAAATAGTAAAAAATGGAATTGAAAAAAAAACAAAATTAAAATAGTAAACAAAATGCACCCACAGACTGAGGTGTCGAAATAGACAAGTGTGCGTTTTTTTCTTCTCCATCGTGTTCCAAATTAAGATATGAATTTATTGAAATTTTGTTTCCAACCAAAAATGTGTAGTAAATGAGAAAATGTAATCAATTCAGTTCGCTAATGTAGGTGCTGTTGAATTTGAAATTGTTTTTTGTTTTACTTGTATGTGCAAAAGAGAAATTGTGTTGTTGATTTGCCTTGAAATTGGTTATGTGTTGTTGTGTGTGTGTGTGTGACAAACAAAATAAAAATGAATAATTAGAATTCTTCAAATCATGTGTACTGTTTGACTGCTCGAGTGTTTCTGTATGCATGTCGTTGGTTTTAAATTATTATTTTTTTCTGTATCATTGCAAAAATGAAAGAAGACTGATGAATGATTATGATGAAAAAAGAACTGTTGTGATGACACCTCGTTGAAATGTGATTTCTTTTCCTGTGTGCGTATGTGTGTGTGTGTTTTTGTGTGTGTATAAATGTGTAGCTCAAACAAACCGTGAAATGACAATACAAGAGAAATAAAAGATAGAAACGACAATAGAGTCTTAAAAGCTGTATGTATCTTACCGTCTGGACGATCCAAGCCACTGGCTGACGTAGCACGTTTTTTCGCTCCGTCGCTGAGCTCCCGTTCGGAGCTGCGACGTGATAATTGTGTTGCACCACCGCCACCGTATGAAACATTTGTTATGGATGTTGAGCGACGATTGTTCCAATAGGAGCCAGTCGGCGCCACCAAATTCACTTCAACGGGATCCAATAGTCGTGGTGTTGACGAACCAAATGCAAACGATATCGAGCTTCGTTCATTCCGTCGTTTTGTGTCGAGACGAGTTTCTCGTTCTTGGTTCTTTCGCACAATGTATTCGCGACGCTCTCGTTCCGCTTCTTCTATTGCTTTCTTTCGATCTTCGACCTGCAACACAGAACAACAACGAATAAATAACAATATTTCACCAGTAGCAGCAAAAGAAAAAAAGCAAATTGAAAATGACAAATTGATGAAATTCAAGCGATTATTCTCATTACCTGCTGTCTTTTGTCGTTCTCTCTTAATCGCATTTCTTCGATGCGCCGCTTGCGTTCTTCTTCTTTTTGTTCGCGATACTTTTGCGCTGCCATTGCTTGTGCTTTGAGCTCATCGAGTTTCTTTTGTCGTTCCAAATTCTGTTGATCTTTTATCAATCGCAATCTCTCATCGCGATCTCGCGCTAAGCATGGACGATAACAAGCCGCAAGAAGAAAAAAAGAATTTCAATTAAAATAATATGCAAATTTGTTTGTGACTAGAGAGAGAGAGAAAAATAAATCAATTAAATTGCAGAGAAAAAAAACGAAATAAATTATTTCATGCTCAGGCTCAGGCTATTAACATTCATTACCGCTGCCTAATTTCATTTGTGATATTAGTACGTGGTTACGTCATCGATGAATATAATTAAAGTATATGTTGTTAGTCAGTAGTAGCTCGATTCAGTTTATTTACATTCAATTTATTTGAATTTCGTTGGAAATGCAACGAGGAAAAAAAAGCCACAAAATAACAGCTCTGTCACATGCTGATGGAAAAAATTGAATTGTGAAAATGTTAATATATCATTCAGGTCAGTGGATGAGAAATGAGTTTGTTGCGTTTCGGAACGCTGTTAGTGGTTTCTTTGTTTACTTTTTCTTTTGGTTTTATTTATCATATCCATTTGCAACAAATTAAACCCTTGCGTTTACCTTCACCGTTATCGCGTTCATCATTTTCAACAAATTCGTGACCAATCTGTGCGAACCAATGCAATGTGTTTGTTGCAGTATCTACGGGTGCATTTACTTCAAATCCAATTAAATCATATTTTATTCGTTTTGTGATTATGCCGACATAAAGATACGGTAGTCAGTTAAATAAAGATATGTATTCGAAAGTGAATTTTGATTTCGATGTTTTTTTCGATACGTAAAGAAAATAGAGAAAGAAACATAGATTTAGATAATGTTTTTCAATGATTGATCGATCAATCTTGTTGCTGAGCATTAAAAGTTTAGAGGATTTTTTTTACTGTTGTGCCAACAGTTACGCCATTTCCAATGATATCATTCGATGTGGATTGGTCTTTTTTTCGTGGTTGTCATTTGGATTATTTACTTACATTTGCGGGTACCATCCTGTTTCTGTGGGGAAGCATCGGTGAAAGAGCCAACTGAAAATGAGAAAAAAAAACCATAAAAATCGATTAGATTAAATTCCATAAAAACCGTAGAAAGTACAAATTGTCGAGAGATTATTATAGAGTGTGAAAAAATCTGAACTTTAGCATGGAGTGGATTGGCCTATGTTTTGGGATTAAAAAAAAACCATGGTAAAAGTGAATTAGTGTGTTCAGTCTAAAGGCCAAGTTCAAGCGAATCAACTGAAAAATCCACTGAGGTCCAATGCAAAACGATGTAAAACTTCAAAACGATTTTATGCCTGCCTCATCATATCATCGGAAACCATTTCAAGTTTTTTTTTTTGCTTCTCCTTCTATTTTATCTCTCAACCGAAACAGTAAACAAACACTATCTTGGAGTCGGGCAACCGATATCAAGTTGTGTTTTACAACGTGATGAATTGTACGAACAAGCAACTTTGTACGAACTCGTTCTGTGTGTGTCTGATCAAAGCCAACACAAGAAGCCGCACAAATTCTGCTGAGCATAGAGTTTTTGGAAGCGGCGGATACCACAATGCACGTGGATTTTCTTTCTGGTTTCATTTAGTTTTGGGTAGGCGATCGTGTACATGGGATTGCTTGCAATTTAGACATTTATATATTTGATGTGTATCGAGAAATACATGCAGAGAGAGAAGCTCTCGAACGTGTGAAACTATTCCATGAATTAATCCGAAGGCGGTTCAACTAAAATTCACTTAGTTGCTTTCTTTTTTTTACTCTTCTCCAGCCCACTCATTTCATTCTCATTTGTTCAACAACCATTTTCATTTCTCTCTCCCCTCCGGAAACTAAAATTCGTGTTCAGAAAGATGAGCTGTCGATGAAGATAATTTATTATATTGGTTTCATTGTCCAAAAGAGTGTTCAAAAATTTTTTTTTTGGCAAGAGCAAGGTTCATTACTTAATCGAAAGCCAAAGCCAAAACCAAATAATATTCATCTGAAGCACACTCAGTGCTTGCAGAGAGAATTGATAGCTGCTTGAATGAATCTCATTGTGTTCTCCATTTGCGTGTGTATACAAATTATGGACCATGAACAGGTATTGGCGAACGAGATGAATTCAATTTCATTTATTCAAAATCCAATCAAATGTGTTTACACTTCACATTTGAATTTATTATTATCGAATCTCAAATTACGTCATCCGTTTAAAATGAATGATCGAACCGAGTGCATTATTGCCGTGTATTGTATCGAAATGACGAGTGAATGAATACAGACACATGATTTATTTTCTCTTCTTCTCGCTGAACCTGCTTGCGAGAAAGAGTCGAATAAACGCAACATACGTTTGCTCAATTCATTCTCTGGGTGTTACTTGGTAATGAGAATTTTTCACAAATTGTTATGAATTGCTATTGTTTTGACGGTGTTTAATGTTAAGTTGAAGGCAAAGATTACGAAAAGTTTAATCTTCGACGATTTGTTACAGCGATTTCATTGAGATTGGTTTTGGTCGAGAAAAGAGCGAGAGAGAAAAATATCCAAACATCCGAAACGCATTAATTGTCGGGAGCGATGAGCAAATCCATCATTCATGTGATCGCGTTGGTTGTTTTTTTTTCGAAGCCATTAAGCCTATTTTTGTCGTGAATGAAATGTCTCTTTGAAGTCAATATGGCGTGAAAACTCAGAGTCGAAGAACTATCGTTGACGTTCGTTGCTTCTGGAATACACACACACTCAGTTGAGTTTGTCGTGGTTGTTATTGCTTTATTTTTCGGAATCACACAAAAATAGATTAAGACTCGATTGCAATGTAAAGTGCAAAGTAAGAAATAAACAATTGAAAGCATTTTAAATATGTTCGTTGTGCATTTTGTGCCGTTTATGAGTATTTTAAACGCAGGGCAATGCATTCTATCGAAATGAATGCAACGATAATCACTTGAGTTTGAGTTACCGTTCGAAATTTGCATTGAAGCCAAAGATTGAGAAAATGACGAAAGAGTCTCCCTATTTGCTGTTGTTGTTTTCTTTCATATTCATTTATGCTGAAGCCAAGAATTATCTATCACAAAATGACATACACGGGCGGAGGAAAACGGGTACTCGCGCGAATGACCACGACGTTAGCGGGCTGAAATACAAGCGCAAGCATACTGTGTGTAATGGTGAATGAGCACATGTCTCAAATTAAGTATCATTTGTGATGTATACGCGATATGCACATGATTTTCTCTTTCTTTTGAGTGAGTGCGATTCTAAGTCGGCATAGTGAAGAGGAGGCGCACATACAGAGCAATGGCCCACGTTTTATATACGTCGAATGGGTGATATGTGAGATGATCATTATGCGCTTTTATGCGCCGGTATTCATATTTGAAATGCTTGTTGTTCGCTGTGTAGTTCAAATTATTGTTGTTTGTTTTTTTTTTTGCTGCATTTCTCTTCTCTATCTCTCTCTTTCTCTATCTCTCACTTCTCGGTTCGTCAGGCGAATTGGTTTTAATTTATCTTTTCTTGACGTTTGCAATTTACATTAAACAAACAACAGCTCATTCAAAGAAGACTGCTGTTTTCTGTATAGAACAGTAGAACGAAAGTGCGATCGGTCGTTCGTTCGGTTACAGTCGGTGCGCGAGCGCGCACTCACTAGGCACAATCAGTAAATCTCAAATTCGACCGAAATGATGAATATTGTAAATGCATAAACCGCAAAACGAACATGAGCATTGCTCATCGTTAGCAGTACTCTTCCGTCAATATTTTCATCAGCGTAATAAAAAAGCATTGGGTTACCGTTCGTCTCTCTCTATATTTCTAACTCCCCAGTGCGGCAGTTGGATGTTATTATTGTGATTGTTGTTATTGTTTTGTTACTATATTCCGTTCGGGTAAATAAATATCGAATATTTTTTTTCGTTATATTTCTTTCGTTTTGTATTCATATTTATAGAGCACCTTTGTTGCACACCGGTGTGAGTATGATGAATACATGAGAAGAAGAAGAGAGAGAGAGAAAGAGTGGAGAAAAAAACCACATAGAAAGTTAAACGCACTATGAAAAAGGGAAAAGCACCATGGGACATATCGCAAGTAATTATCCACTTACTCACTCGCTCACTCATTCGAGCATTTGTTCGTAGCTCGTTTCGTATACTTCTGTACGTGCGCATTTTTTTTCTACTCTATTTTTATGTTTATTAATGAAAAATTTACAAATACTCGTGCAATTATGATCATTTACAAGTACACACACCGCCACATGCGGAACAAAAGACGCAGAGTGAAGTGAACAACGAACGTTCGGCATTTGGCTGGTTCTATTCACTCATTTTCAAAATTCCGAATGCATCGCGCGAGAAATACTCATAACTGCACGATAGAAAATGTGAGCGAGATTCTCCTTCTCTCTCTCTCTCTCTCTCTCTCTCTCTCTCTCTCTCTCTCTCTCTCGCTCTCGATCATTGCGTCGTGCACGGCCTCTCATCAAAACCTTCATGGGAACGGTTGTTGGCTCTATCGTTCGAGCTCTTTAAACTTTACGTTCGAGATCATAGATTCTAAAAATAAATGCACGCCGTTTTTACCTTTTTCGTATGTTTTCGAAGGCGATGCATGGCGTACATGGAATACCAAATCGTAATACTAGTAGAAATTGACTGGATGAATTACAATCGGCTTCGTTTATTCGACGCGTACTGCAACGAATGGATTTATATAGATAGATAAGTGTGTATGGTTTTTCTTCTTCTTTTCATTATTGGTTGAAACCGAAACAGAGAAACATAAATGTACGCATATATGGTGCGGCTGTTTACTTGGAATCGGCTATGAAAAGCGGCCAGACTGGCGTTTGTTTCGCATGATGGCATACACCGGTTCTGAATGATCGACAAGTTTATTAGCAGCAAATTTTGGCCAAAACGAAGAGAGAAACTTTTGCATCTTGCATCGATATGCCAACGCAAAATGTTGCATTTCAAACTAAAAACACTCTCTATCCATTCCGTTCGAATGTGATGATATGATTTGATGGTTTTGCACGAAATGCACACAGACACATTCGTAAAGCAAATAAACAAATGATCAAATGCTCTATAATAACTTTATCAAACGAAACATACGAATGAACCAAAGCATATCAGAAAAAAATCCATGTTTACATGCGTTGCTTACTTCCCTCTCTTTCTCTCTCTCTCTCTTTTCCTCTATTTGATGAAATGGGCAAACCGTAAGTTGTGTGCATGTACGGAGTCGAGTGGAAAACATATTGACTGCAGTGTGACGCGCTACACTCGTGCAATGAATGAAATAGCGACGGAAGAACGACCATCTCAACCGTACAAATGCTCGATTTTACCCAGCGTATAAATAATAAAAACAAATTGACACGGTAGACATCGTCTATTACCTAAGACGGTAAAATTCATGACGATTGAGAACATGTAGTTTCCATTGCCATTATGCCCATTTCGCTTGCTTGCTCGCTTTGGCTAGCTTCGATTTTCAATTACAATTTCCACTAAAAACTCTACTTGGGATTGACTTCAACATGTAACTATATAACACAAATGGAAGTGTAACGAAAAAAAGACAAGCAACTTCAATTGTGAACCGAATCGATTGCCGACGATAGAGGAAACGAAATGACCGTTCAACACATGAAAAAACTGAATTTAACGGCGTTTCGTATTGAAACAAATCGCCCTCAATTACTCATAAGTCTCGCCTTGCATTTCAACATGAGCCGTTAAAGAAATAATATCCAACCCAATGGAGTTCCGGTAAAATGAAAAATTATTGTGTTACAATTGAATGTCCGAGAATGAAAACGGAACTTCTATTCACAACACATATAAGTGAAACAAAAATAAAAAATTTATTGAAATGAAACAACACAATCGAATTTTTTCAAAGTGTAACAACAAAAAAGATTTTTTTAAAGTGTAACATCGGTATGTTGTTACACTTACTACTTACCGATGTTACACTTTAAAAAAATCTTTTTTGTTGTTACACTTTGAAAAAATTCGATT